GGAAAGTCTTCAGGTGCAATCTAATGATGGGAAAAGAGAGGGCAAAGCAGAGGTTCAAGGAATACTGGCTAAAGACATTTCCATCGATGGCAGAGCGGAGTGGTCGAGGGAACGAAGAAGGCTGAGCCAGACAAGCGAATAGGATGGGTAGAGGAGTAGGGTCTGCAAGTTGGATAGGTAGGAAGGTGCTAGGGCATGAAACAATTTGTATGTCAGTGTGAGGATCTTGAAATTGGAACCATGTTGCATTCACTAGAGAGAAATGAATGGAGAGGTATAAGAGAGGTGGAGTAGTATGTGAAGTATAATCACCAGAGTGAATGGCCTGTTTGTATGCTGTAACATTGTACATAATTCTATGCAATTTTCACTGTTCTTTGGGGTTTGTGTTTTTAAAAGCTTTGGGCTGCGAAGACCTTCCTCCAGGCATTTATCATAATGAGCCCATCACTCTGTTCCTCATTAGCTCCATTTGCTCTCAAGTTCAAGATCTTCTTTCTCACCTTTAAATCCCTCCAAGCCTACCTCTGTGACCTCCTCAAACCCTACTGACCCGATCACACCCTTCGCTCAGCGAGCACTGTCTCGCTTTGTGTCTCTCAACCTAAACCCACCCCACCATCAGCAGGCAGGCTTTTCACCTATCTGTCCCAACTTTCTGGAAGTCCATTCCAGGGTCTGAGATGGAGGTTTGGATCAAGAGGGATCAAGAGGGGTAGGAGGTTGGCTGAAGGCATGGTCGAAGAGGACGGTCTTGAGATAGGCCTTGAAGGAGGCAAGGAAGGGAGTACAAACCATACCAAAACAACAGTTTCTTTTCTTGCGGAAATGTGCCAAACAATTGCTTGGATCCAATAAGAAAAAACTTCAACTTATTCCCTCCCTCGTTCAAAGTCAGTCTCAAGCCCTACCTCTTTGACCATGCTTTCAGTCATCTTCCCCCGCCCTACCCACCTCAGTTCCCACCCCAGCTTGAATGCCAAACCAGGATTGTTAAGCACAGTGGGATGTCCACCCAACGAGAAAATGTATATAAAATGTTAGTTTTTAATATATTGTAGAATTTCAAATATTTCCAAACAACCATTGCCTGTTGCCATGACAACCTCAGGTAGTGTAATGACGAGCTAAAATTGCAAATATATACATTCTCATCCACCAACAGCCCATTCTCATTTCCCAGGCAACATTTCTTGCAGTGACAGTTGCAATGCACCGCAACCAGATTTTGTGTGGGCTGGTCTATCTGCTTCTACACTTTAATTAACATTCTGTAAATATTCCCAAGGGATGCGAGTCTATTTTACTCAGTTGAAATTCTTACAATTTGGCTGACATAGTGCACGTTTAAATATTAACTTGAACTACATCCATTTCCATTGAGGGAGGGAAAAATACGAATCAAGTTTAGTTTATTTCCCAATTAAGATAAATTAAGTTCATTTTATCTGAATAAGGAGGGTGGTAGGAGGTGTGGTCTTGAGATAGGCCTTAAAGGAGGCAAGATAGAGAGTGCAAACCATACCAACACAGCAGTTTCTCTCCTTGTGGAGATGTGCCAAACAATTTCTTGGATCCAATAAGAAATATCTTGGGCAAAATACAACATTATTACCATTTCATGGCACAACACCCTCATTCTAAATCACAGAACTTCATATTCTATTCTATGATTTTACTACTGCCCCAAACCGTTTCCTGTTGGTACATACAATTGTACCTAATTTAATCATTCCAGGTAACCCAGTCAGTTATGTAAATCCACGACTTTGATATTTAACCCTGGTGGGTCCACATAACTTGCCATCTTAGAGGTTGATGTAATGAATAATAATAACAAGAAAAACAACATTACATTTGTCTAGTGCCTTTCTTGTTGGGAGGGCGTCTCAAGGCGCTAAACAGTCAGATTTTTGGACCCGAGCTGGGGATCGGGGTTGGGGAGGGTGGAGGGCATGAAGGGGATTCAGGGTGATCGAAGGCATGGTCGAAGAGGAGGGTCTTGAGACAGGTTTTGAAGGAGGCCAGGGAGAGGGCGAGGTGGAGGGACTGCAGGATGGAGTTCCAGAGGGTGGGGGCAGAGTGGCAGGAGGCCTGCCCGCCAATGGTGGGGTAGGCAAGGTGGGGACGTGAAGCAGGCCAAAGCACACTGAGCGGAGGGAGCGGGTGGGATGGTAGGGGGTTAGGAGGTCCCAAAGGTAGGGGGGGAGCAAGACCATGGAGGGCTTTGAAGGTGAGAACTAGGATCTTGAACTGTATCCTCTGTGTGATGGGAAGCCAGTGGAGTCGGGTGAGGATGGGGGTGATATTGACACAGAGCCTGGTGCGGGAGGACACGGGCTGCAGAGTTCTGAATGATCTGCAGCCTATGGAGAGAGGATCTGGGGAGGCCAACAAGCAAGGATTTTATATAATCAAGCCTCGATGTAATGAATATAGTGTCAACAACAACAAATTACATTTGTGTAGCGCCTTTCACGTCAGGAGGACTAAAGGTATCCTCCATTAATGATGAGCAGAGAAAAAAAAGATTAGGCGAGCTGCATTTTCTTGCGGTTGAACTGGTTCTCAGTGGATGTACCTGTACACGTCTTGTCACAACCCAACACATTGTTGACCAGAACACCAACAAAATTACATTTGTATTGTGTCTTTCACATCAGAAAGTGTCCCAAGCCTAACTCGATCAACAAGAGGGAGGTGTAGCCAACCAAAGCCCTGACAAAGAAGGCAGTCTTAATTAAACACATACTGTGAAATTTATCACAATGCTTTGTATTGGCAAACTGCAGAGTTACAGAGGAAGGGGCATATTTACTCCATCTAAAATTAAAATTAAGTGGTTTTTTTTTCAAAAAACCAAAGTATGGTATTTGAAATTCCACCTCCTCCCACCCACTGAACATCCATCTCGCTGGTCCATGGACAGTCTTTAGTAGAGAGAGAACAGGAAGCCCGCCTCAGCCTCTATTAATATCCTTCAGGAGGCTGCTACAGGATGTGTAATAGTGACGGTTACTTGGATTTTCTCTTTGCTGTCAAAAATGCCCAGATGCCTGCTCACAGAGGAGGGCTAATGTCAGCATCTCAATGCAGTGAAGGAATCAAACCTGCATTGCCCGCAATGCCACCCCAAGTGAGAATTCTTCAAACTATCCACAGTTAGCACTTGTTAATTGTTGCAAATAAAAACACTCAGCTTGCACAATAATCAAAAAAAAATTTAACCTTTGCAGGCTGCAGGAAATAAATAAGGCTAGACGTAATATTTATCCAAGTCCACTAGACCAGCTGTTGTAATGGATTTAAAGCACCACCACAGAAATCTAATTACAGTATTAATGTGTCAAAGTCTGGAACAGCCCTTCAATGGATATGACCGTTCAGTTTATGCACTCTCCATTTAGGCATAAAGATTTAAGGGAATATGGAAATTAAATGCTAATGGCTGAAGCTTAATTCCTTATTCCAGAAATTATTGTTCAGTGACAGATTTGAACCCTTATTCTTCTCCAAATAATGCCGCCTAAAGACAGTGGTTTTAAGCCCTGGTTTTACTCTTTATTCATGACAGCTGGTGATAAATCTCAGCTCCCCCACTCCCCCACCCCCGCACACACACACACACCCACACCCCTCATTAATCTCACCACGGCCTTACAATGTTTTTTTCCATTTAAATAACTACAAATACCCTTTGACCATAAAACAATGCACACATTTCTCCCAGTTAGACCCCATGATATACCAGATGAACTCACTTAGACATACATATGCTGAGCTGACAGCTGCATTTTAATTTACTGTTGATGCAGACAGCAGCATAAGTCAAGATAATAAATGCTTTTCCATCCAGCCTATTCTTTTTACGGGTCACTTCTAATGAGCAAGCATGGCATTCGCTGGCAGCATGTGGATAAATGATTTGTGATCAGAAAATGCAATCGGAAAATGAACAGTGAGCATCCCATGAAGCAAAGTCCATTTACACTGTTAAAAAAAATTAAGCAACTGTAACATTTAGATCGAACAACAGTTCGACAGCTCAAAATGGCAGCTTTTGTTGTGAGGAGGAACATTTGCTGCTTCCACTCTTCTTGCAATTTTCATTTCAACACATTGTATGAGGCTTACACTGAACGTAACACAGCACACAGCCAGGCTCTCACCCCCAAGGCAAATAAGCAATTAGGAGGACAGAAGTCTTGTGCCAAGTTTAGTCCAAGGGCCCTACATCTACTTATTTGTTGAGGGCACAGAAAGCATCTCAGTGCAAAACTGGGCAGCCAGATACTAATTGATTATCAGCATTCAACAATATAATGAGCTGTTAACATTGCCCAGGCTACAGGTCATTTTCAATATATACTCATAAATAACTGCTTCTACAGCAGAACACTTTATATATATTTTTTAAAAAGTCTCGGCTTTTAAATAATTTTTTCTTACAAATCAAATTGCATTCAATATTCTTAAACAGTTACAGAAAAAGAATCCCTGAGATAAAAAAAAAGGACATTTTACTGTATCAAAAAATCTATATGCAGCCAGGTCTGCGGATTTCTCCCCATCACTTCAAACAAATAAGACAATAGCAATTAATTTTCATTTGAGTGGAGACACTCATCACCTGACAAGAGTGTAAAACAAATGAATCAAATGAGAGCTAACAATGACAATTCTCCTGGATAGCTCAAGTAAGATACACTCAATGCAAGTCCTTCAAACAATACTGCATTATTTTCCAAGTCTGAATTCCTGCAGCCAAAAATCTGCATAAATAGATGCAAAACACACACGCACACACACACAAAGTAATGTATAGACATAAGCATTGTTTACAATGAAACCAAAGGCACAGAAGATGAGCTAAATCACAACATCCAACTACTGTGGGCTAATTTACTTGCCCTTTTGCTATCCACCTGAGCCAACGGTGAACTGGAACACAAAAGTGAACATGCTTTTAATTTTATTTATTTTTCTGAACGAAACAATACCTTTCTGTGTTTGCCCCTCTTCCATATTCTCTTCCATTGCTCCTGTCAGTCCTAAATGCTACACAGAATTAAACAAAAGCTTCTATTAGAGGAGCTGAGAGAGAGAGAGAGAGAGAAAAAAAATTTCCTCTGGATCTTCAAGCAGTAGCTTGGGCAAGTCCTCAGAGCTTGGCTCGTACTCGCTCACTCCCCTTGTTTGCTTTGAGATTGCTTGTCAAGTGTAATTTCATTCAAATTACTCTTCCGTGAAGATTATCAATTTTTTTTCTGAATGCTGCCCATTGTTTATCACTGTAAGCAAGTATTCTTGTCTAGCCTGCTGGACGCGGGGAACAGATTTCAGTCGTGCCTTCCTATATGACCCAAATGCTCTCTTCAAACTGATTTGCTTCTGATAAGAGGAATTAAAATATTGTTTTGGGCAGAATCTGGTGCTTTAGATTGAGAGGAAGCTTTTAGACCTGCACATTTCTGAAGGGGTGGACTATTAACATGAGAAAAGACCACCAGTCCATATCCCCCTCTCCCCAGAGTGGAAACGTCCGACTGCCTGTATTTCTACTGATCATTCTCACTCACAGATACCCAGAGTGTGTGTCGCTTTTAAAAAAAGACAGATAAACTCAGCTTTTACATTCATCTGTTTGCCATCTGATATCCAACATTAATGTCAAGTAATCTGGATATCCAGACAAGCTGACAAGGCTCTATAAATTGAGCATCATCAGTTCTGTCAGGACTGAATTTAAATAAGAAGCCCACTGCCAGCCAGGTCAGAAGGGAAATCATCTTCATGCAGCATTTGTTAATGCACAGCCCTTCCCCTCCAATTACACCATCGTATATATAAACATATATAGAAACACAATTTAAACACCCTAAATTAACTTAGATCACACTTCCACTAAACACGCACAGGTTTCGGAACACTGCAGAAATTCTACCAGAATACAGCAGTAGCTTTGGGAAATACAATATGTAAGTTGAGTGATAGTACACTTGAATCACTTGTGGAAGCTTGTACCTGGTTTTGAATGAAATTGCAGAGTGGAAATAAATTAGCAATTTTAAATTTCAGCCAGCTGAGGAGATAAGAGATAGTTACGTGAACACAATTTGGAATAAGCACAGGGAGCGAAACCTCCATTTATTCTCAACGTCCACTGAACAACTAACTGTGTGCTTCAAGCATTATTTAGATATACGAGTGCACAGCACTGCAAGCTAAGGAAAAACAAAATCAAATTTTAGGACTGTTTAGATAATGCAAATGTAACAGTGAGAAAATACAGGCATTGTAGTTTGTGAATAATATGGCTACTAAACTCATGCGTTCAGAGGAACCATTCACACAGGTCAGAATTTGGGGAATTAAATTTAAATGTAAAACAGGTTGCACTTAGCGCAAAAATTAAAGTGATAGAAAACATGCATCTAGTACACCAACTGGGTAAAGAAAAAGGGTAGAAGAGTCGCCATAGCCAACTCCAATTATCAATTTAAATAATAATCCTTACTTTTGGTACAGTAATCTTAGGTCAAAGTCTCAAAGCGCTTCACAGGATTTACTGTAAAATGAGTACTATTTTATAGGCAAACACAGCAGCCAATTTGCATACAGTAAACAGCCATGAAGTGAATGATACACTTGACCTGTATAAAAAATACAAATCACTGCACTTTACAGTGAATGCTGTGAAGCATTTTGAGACTAATATGAAAGGTGTTATATGAAAATAGAACCATCGAAATTAACAGCACAGAAGGCAGCCCATTTGGCCCATTGTGTCTGTGCTGGCTCTTTGAAGAGCAATTCTTTCAGTCCTATTTACTTGCTGTTTAGCCTACTACTTCTTAGTATTTATTTTGTCCCCTTTTGAAAGCTAATATGGATTCTGCCTCAATTATCGCTCCCATGGGATATTCCACATTCTAACTATTCTGCATGAATAGAATTCTTCTAACCTCCCCATTTGCTTGTTTGTTTAAATTCATGACCTCTAGTCAAACTTACTGACCAGTTGAAATAATTTCTACCTATTGCCTATAAAAACCCGTCATAATTTTGAAGATATCTATCAGTTTGGCCCTCAGCCTTCTCTGTTCCAATGGAATAAGTTCCAGTTCCTCCAGTCCCTGCTCATAAGATCTATGCAAGGTCTTATGCAAGGATTATTTATTACTTTGTCAGAGCTAGAGATTTTGTGAGATTGTTCCAGTTAATTTCACAATTTCTACTAGATTAAGATCTGACAACATAACAATCCAATCTAAATGAAATGCCTAACATATGCTTTTCAGTCTTAGTCATTCTGGAGGTGAACCTTGTAGTCTATTTCAAATCATGAAATGTGTTTAAAGCTACAAGAGCATGCAGTACGTTAGGTCAGTGGGTTGTTGCAGGAAGATAATCCCCTTCAGGCAAAATTAATGCTACACATAACATATCCACTTCATGGCTAAACCAGGCAAACAACAGTGTTTAAGTATGAAGGTAACAGACACCAAGTAGAAAAAGAAGGAGAAAGTTCATCAAAATGAATAGAGCTAAATTAAAGTCAAAATAAAAGGAGAAATTCCAATAACTTCATTACCGAGTTCATTTTGGTTTCATATCTAGAAGCTAAATAGCAGATTTCAGTCGGAGGTACTGCACATGAGTAGACAGTGGAGGTCTATGTATTAATATTTTTTTAAAATTCATTGGCATTCATTATAAAGAAAAACTATTGGCATGGACTTTACACAAATTGATATCCTGATCTTTGTTTACTTATTTTGTTGGGTAGTTTTAAGAGTACAATTAAAACATCTTACACAGAAAATGTGCGAGTGCAGAAGATCACACAAATCAAGGACAAAATGGGATACAATTTAGGAATTTAAACAAATCTGACATTTCAGGCATTTTCAAAGAGCCAGGAAACAGCTCCAAACCAGAGTGGCTGTTTTTCCTTGCACAACAGTTTACTTATGTACAATCAGATACTACTTATTAACAAGGTTCGAAAAACAGATGGGGGTCAAACAAAACACCAAGATTCCACACCGGCTCCATGAGGTGTAGTGAGCATCCAAGCAGATCAATGCAGCCAGCATTTGAGATGACAAGGAGCTGACAGAAGCCATGCAGAAGAGCATCAGTCTTGATGACATTTAGCAGTAAGAAGTTACAACTCATCCAGGATAACTAACGGTTTATTAAGACTAACTTTGTTCCATTATTGAAAGTCAGTCAGTCAATTTACAGACAGGTTTATTGAGAGTGATCATTGACCCCCCATCTCAATGCAGTGAAGTGCAAACTGTCTACAAAACAGAAGCGACTCTGTTATATGACACTAAATCTAGGACTGCATTTTAACTAAGATTAACTGGGTTTCCTACAGTACATTTTCTTGAAAATATTATGGATCAACAACCAACGCTCAAACTTTAAGCCTTTCTGAAACATTGCCTAATACTTTCCAAAAGACGTGGAGTCCTTTTGGAAATATTCAGACAATACCCTGCAGATGGATAAATCTCCTGGATAGTATCACTGTAGAAATACATTACTTCCATTGAGGAAGAGTTAAGAGCTTGTTGAGGATCAAGCTTAGGAGGTCGGCAAATAAAACGTTTGCATCTCCAGTCAGGAGGCCACAAATACTTGAAGGAGGATTTTGGTTTCATTAAAGGTGTAGTGAGAATGAAGCTGGGTGATATACTGAAGGTGGAGAAGTAGCTTTGGTTCAGGATGAGGGTTTGAAAGACAAGATGCCAACATATCACATTATGTACAACAACAACAAAAATTACATTTATAGAGCGCCTTTCACGTCGGGAGGACGTCCCAAAGCGCTGAACAGTCAGGTGTCGGGGCCCGGGCACTGGGGCGGGGGGTGTTGTAGGGGTGAGGGAAGCAGAAAGATGGGAGGGAGATCAAAGGCACGGTCGAAGAGAAAGGTCTTGTGACCGGCCTTGAAGGAGGAAAGGGAGGAAGCGATGCAAAGGGACCATGGAATGGAGTTCCAGAGTGTGGGAGCAGAGAGGCTGAAAGCCCGGCCACCAATGGTAGGGCAGGTCGGGCGGGAGACATGGAGCAGGTCGGAGCCCGATGAACGGAGGGAGCGGGCAGGCTCGTAGGGAGTCAGTAGGTCAGAGAGCTACAACAACAACTTGGATTTATACAGCCCCCTCCACGCCGGACGATGTCTCAGAGCGCTTCACACTAACGGATCCCGGGGCCGAGCCGGGGGAGGGGGAGGAAGGTGACCAAAGGCGCGGTCGAAAAGAAAGGTCTTCAGCAGAGACCTGAAAATAGGAAGCGAGGGGGCAAGGCGAAGGGAGTGAGGAAGGGAATTCCAGAGCCTCAGGGCATAGTGACTGAAGGCACAGCCGCCGAGGGTGAGCAGAGGACTTGGGGGACAAGGAGGAGGTCAGACCCGGAGGAACAAAGGCAATAACTAAGCTCAGTGAACAATAAGAGAAGCTGATGTCGGAGCCAAAGCCAAGGAGGTGCTGGTGGGAGGCACGAAAGACTGAAGGTTGCTGAGATCCATCCAGGGTGTCAGCCTGACTCAGTTAGTATCACTCTCACCTCTGGGTCAGAAGGTTATGGGTTTAAGGCCACATCTGGGTTTCAGGCTCATCCAGTCTGGCAGTACTGGGGTGGGGGCGGTGGTGTAGATTGTTGCATTGTTGGAGGTGCCATGCTGTCCTTCACATGACATTGAGGCGAGATCTCGTCTGCCTGTTCAGGTGAACGGTACAGTATCGTTTGAAAAGAAAGTTTCTCCCGCTGTCCTGCCTACAAACTCCCAGATACAACTTCCAGGTCATTCAATTTTTGGCTGTTTGTAGATCATTGCTCTGCACAAACTATCTGCCACGTTTGGTTACACAAGTACAACAACAACAACTTGGATTTATTGAGCGCCCTCCACGCCAGACGGCATCTCAGAGCGCTTTACAGTAACCGATCCCGGGGCCGAGCCAGGGGGAGGGGGAGGAAGGTGACCAAAGGCGCGGTCGAAAAGAAAGGTCTTCAGCAGATACGTGAAAATGGGAAGGAAGGGAGTGAGGCGAAGGGAGTGAGGAAGGTAGTTCCAGAGCCTCGGGGCATAGTGGTTGAAGGCACAGCCGCCGAGGGCAGAGTGGAGGACTCAGGGGACGAGGAGGAGGCCAGACCCAGAGGAACGAAGTCAATGGGTACTGTTTTGAGGAGACAGGTCAGAGAGATAGGGGTTGCAGAGGAGTGCAGGGATTTGAAGACAAGGGTGAGGATCTTGAAGTCGATCCTCTCTGGGAAAGGCAGCCAGTGCAGTCTGGCAAGGACTGGGGTGATCGAGGAGAGGAGTGTTGTGTGGGTGAGAATGCGGGCGGCAGAGTTTTGAATGATTTGGATTTTATGGATGGTAGTGGATGGGAGACCGGTGAGGAGGGCATCAGAGTAGTCCAGCCGAGAGGTGACAAAGGAATGGACCAGGGTTTCAGCGTCATTTGGGGAAAGCTATTGGCAGAGACGGGCGATGCATCGGAGGTGGAAGAATGCGGTG